CGGAGCCCCCCGCGCTGGGCGGGCAGCGGCCACCGGCTGCTGCTCTCGGCCGACCGGACGCTGGTGCTGAAGGAGCTCTCGAGCGAGGACGTGGCCGATGTCCACGGGCTGCTGTCCCACTACCACCAGGTACGGGGGGCCCGAGGTGCGCGGGGGCGTCCCCGAGTGCGGCTGTGTCACCTCTGTCCCTCCCCAGTACGTGGTGCAGTGCCACGGGCAGACGCTGCTGCCGCGGTTCCTGGGCATGTACCGGGTGAGCGTGGACAGCGAGGACACCTACCTGCTGGTCATGAGGAACCTGTTCAGCCACCGCCTGCCTGTGCACAGGAAGTACGACCTGAAGGTATTGGGGTGACCCCTGAGCCCCCTTGACTCCCATCATGGGGCAGCCTCTCCCCAAGAGCCATCCCGTCACCTCTGTTCTGTTCTCTCCAGGGTTCCCTTGTGGACCGAGAGGCCAGTGACAAAGAGAAGGTATGGCAGGAGGATGCTGTGAGCCCCCCAAATTTAGGTGGGGGGGTTCTCCAGGCCTCATTTTCCCTCCCCTCTAATAATGACAGCTCATTACCTGCCCCCCATACCCCAAGAAGGGCTCATTCCCCTGAAGAGGGGCTCACCCGTGACCCCCACAGGTACAGCCTGTGCCTGGGGGGGTCCCACAGCCCAGGGTGTCCCCTCCAGCTCAGGGGTGTCTGGGGGGGTCTGCTCCCCATCCCTCTGCAGGGCAAGGAGCTGCCCACGCTGAAGGATGTGGATTTCCTCAACAAGAACGAGAAGGTGTTCGTGGAGGAGGAGCAGCAGCGCGAGTTCATGGAGAAGCTCAAGCGGGATGTGGAGGTGGGAACTGGGGGGCTGCACCTGCAGGGAGCCATTGAGGGGGGGCTGTCTCCTCCCCCCACCAGCTGCAGAAGTGGCCCCAACCCCAACTGACTCTTTGTTTGGCCTGCTAGTACCCAGGCTGTGAGGGTCTGGGGGCAGGTCCCCCTGTACCCAGGCTGTGAGGGTTTGGGGGAGCCCTCCCTGGGGCTGTGGAAGTGTCCCCCACCCCTTATGACCCCTTGGCTGTCCCCCTTGGCAGCCCTGAGAGTCCAAGGGGTTTCTGGGGACCATGTCAAGTATTTGATGGTTGTGGGGGTCCCCTTCTCAGTGTTCAGGCTCTGGGGGTTTTGGGGTGCAGCCCCCGAGGGTTTTGGCATGCTCCCCCCAATTCCTGCTGTTGCTCCCCAGTTCCTGGTGCAGCAGAAGCTGATGGACTACAGCCTGCTCCTGGGCATCCATGAGGTGGAACGGGGGGAGCAGGAGGAGGAGGAAGAGCTGGAGGAAGAGGAGTTCGGGGGTGGTGATGAGGCAGGAATGGGGGACCCCTATGGC